TTTTTCTTCCAAATATTGTTGACCCACGGTTGGTCAACTCCATGGAGTCTGGACCCCGTGGATGGGGAGGGACAGCTGCGTTTCTACTCCTGTTATTGCTCCTACTTGGAATAGTGCCTCCATCAACCTGGAAAGCAGCATTTGTGTCCTGGGAGGAGGAGATTGGCAGGACTGCAGGGTCCCAGCGTGGAAAGACAAAACGGCAGGCTTTGGTAGGAGCCATTTTCCCCTGTGTTTTATGCTGTAAGACGCTGAAACAGCCTACCTTATTTCATGGAAGTTATTAAAACGATGTGACTGTTTCCACACTGATATCATAAATCATATTATTTATAAAACTTTCGAAGGAGAATGCTTTCTGCAGAAGCCTGGTCCATTATCGTAGGAGCTCTGATGCACTCCAAAATGGCTTTGAAAAGCTATGCCTACATATAAAACACCATGGACTCTTGAATCTCTCTGGCCTTGCATGTTTCATTTTTCCATGAAAAACACCATTACAGGTCTCAAAATAATACCGTCTCGAAGTAGTTATGAATTATGGACAACAGAAATGCAGTAGAAAAGGGAAGAACATATTTATGCTGAAAGATAAACTGGGGGCAGAGCTCTTATTTAAATATTTAACTGGAAAAGGCCCAAAGTTCCATAATGTACACTGTGTTTGTGTCTCTATGTGTTGGCTGGGAGAAAGCAATAGAAACTAAACCAGGTTTGTCAAATACAGAGAAAACATGCGAGTCCAGTACATGGTAGATGCTTGAGCCCCAGAGGAAAGCAGCTGTTCAGGGAAGGAGAAAATAGAGAAAAGGGGTCCATTAGTGACCATCGATCCAAAGCTAAAAATGTAGTCTTTAACAAAACCACGATGAAAGCCAAAGAAGATCAGACAAAATCCCTGAGCAGGGATTAGAATTTAAGAGACCACTAGAAGCACCCAGAATGTAGAAGATGGCAAGAAGAGCCGCAACCTCACAACGCAAGATGTGACAAGTGAACAGACCATTGCTCTCTGGAACCTAAAGTTGCTTTGAAGTTAACTAAGTCATGCTAATTATGGTTGTGCACAAATGGTAGAATTACTTACATAATAAATCTCACTTGGTAAGGTGAATTATAGTGGATAGGTATGAAAAGAATATAATTAGTAAAAAAGTAAATTAGTAAAAATGAGAATGTTCTGGTGATCACTTCCATTGTTCCCTTGGGTGGTGTTTGAACAAGAAAATATCGCTGGATACCATGATAAAGACACCCACTCTCTGTTGAAAGTCAAGCAGGTTCATTTCATAATTTCTGAATGACATGAACAGTCAACAGCTGCACAATATTGAGCAGTCCTGGCAACTGTGCATTCAAGGTGAGTTTTACAATGGGCCTCTCTCGTTACATTTGTCATTTCCCAATCTGGTCCTGCTCTCAACAATCAGCCTCGTTGCCAGCCCCTGAATATCCTCTGGCACTTTCCATCTTATGCCTTCCAGATCAGTAAGTCTTTCTCCACTGCTTCTTCCAGCTTCTCATATTCCATGCACTTCACGCCAGCGTGGTCCAGTTCAGCTCCCTTCACCCAAACCAGTTACGATGGTGCGGACTGTGTCTCCTTTGGCACCATGAAGTCCATCAGCAGGGTTCTGCCGTCTGCCTTGCCCCTTCCCTATCTCCAATGCCCAGCACTACACTAGAACACGGCAGCCTCAGGAGAAGCATTTGCCAAATGAGTGAGTGATGACTGACTGCATGAGATTAAATTGTAACGACCAGTCACGTTTCTCACAATTCCAAAGTAACGTTCTGGCTCTGGATTGCTGAAGAGCTTCGGCACCATGAAGTCCCTCTGAGTCTCTGTGAACTGAGTTTCCAACAATGGCTCGGCCTGCTCTTGCACACGATGACAAAAATAGAGCAAGGACGCTCAGTGTATGGAGACAACTCAAATCGCCAGACCCCAGATCCAAGGCCACCGCACACATACATGTGGTTAAACAGTTCCTCTCCCCCACGACTCTGTGGTCTCCATAGGGAAATTTATTCTGGTAAGTCCTTGACAGTCAACGTGTCTGCATTTCTGCGCACCAGCCAGAGACCCATAGCTAAGGAATCGCATCTTCCCCTCTGTTTGAGTCTCAATTGATGCTGTAGCTTAGAAGGAAGCTAAGTGCTATCCAAATACCACATGTTCCATATGGTCGTGGTCTCACCGCTCTCATTACGGCTGCGCAAGGCCCTTTGTGGCTGCGCTCACGAGGTGCCGACTCTCCCTCACCCGCGTTTGCCGATGCCCTCATGGTTCTCTCTGCCGCCATGAACTCACTCACGTTGTTGAAATAACTTACGGATGTGTACGAGTCTCAGTTTTGTTTTCCGATTCATCATCGCTTCAAGGAGAGTAAGTTATGAACTATTACACGAGGAATTCTCAAGCTAAACCGTCTTAATTAGAAATTCTGAAGTTCCTCGTTGACTGGAAAACACTGAGCTGTTCAAATGAGGCGGGAAATTAAGGCTAAAACCAAGGGTGTCTATAAACACTGGCTAGTTGCAGAGGAGCCAGTGACAAGCACTGGCTGAAGCCAGGCAAGGCGCCCTCTCTTTTGTCTCCTTAAAGCCAACTAATTCTTTCATCCCTTTTCCTGCCCCTTTCCAACTTAATAATGCAGCCAAAGGGTTGAGGGATTCGGAATTCATAGTTTTCCCTTAGATGGTTTTGTAGGATAAAGCACCCAGAATCGGCAAGCTTGGGCAGGCGAGATGTGTCTGTCTACCTTCTCTTTCATTTATTTAGTGAAATAAAACCTATTGAGAAATGAGGGAAAAGACAAGAGCCAAGTAGGGCAGCTCACATATGGTGCCAAGTGGTTGGGCCCCCACCCCCTCTCTCTGCATGGTTCAGAAGAGGTCTAGGAAGCTGGCCTGGCCTAACGCACTGGCTGTACACAGGAGCAAGGCAGCCCAGGTTGCAAATGATGCTTTTTGCTCTATCCAAGTGGCCAGGTGAAACAGAGTGTGATGACGTCACAGCCCTGTGGGACATGGGTCTCAGCTGTGAAGATGCCAATCAAGCAGTCCAAGCAGTCTCTTCAGGACTGGCATTATTCCATTAACTCAAATGAAAGTCATTCAGAAATACATGGAACACTACACACACACACACACACACACACACACACACACCCCAGGAAGGTCAAAAGAAATAAGAAGGGGAAGAAAGATATTACAAGACTTACAAGACTGGGATTATACTATGGTTGGTGTCACCCTTTATACTTGCTTACTTTATTGTGATCATTTTCTCATGTCCCATAAGTGTCCTTATAGCAGCACCCCGGGAGATGGTACTGTTATCTAAATTTTACAAATAGAGATATCGAGATGTAAAGTAACTTGTCCAAGGCCGCCCCTTGAGAAAGCAGCAGAGCTGGAATGAGGGCCCAGGCAGTCTGGAGCCTGCAGTTTCATCGGCTAGGATTTTCAGGCTCTGCATCATATGGCGCTCCCGTCATTATATTTAATCACGTTCTCAGTACCAGACATATATATACACATACACACACACACAGATATTTTTAAACTGAGAGTAGTATAACGTCAGATACATGTTTAAGGAAGGCTTTCTTATTAAATATCTTTTTTATTCTTTTTAGGAAATGAAAAGATACATTTTCCACTAAAACATTATTGCTATCCAGTGATTTCATAGTTGTCTAAAAATTCTTGGCCAAAAAGGAAGAACTTAAAATTCCCAAGGGCCTTTCCATTTCTTCTTGATCTAGCATTATTTCTCCACTGTCAAAGTCTGCTGAAGTTTCAAGGATGCTACTGCACAAGAGGAAGGCTCTTCAAAACAGTGCAGTCAATGAATAAAACCTCTCCCTTTAAAAACCAAGCCAAACCAAAATAAAACATGGAAATAACATTTCTCATAATCAACTGGCAAAGACTCTTTGTTTTCAAAATTTCTGGCACTGTTAAACTGTGTGGAAGTGGACACTCTGACACATTGCCTCTGAAAAATACAAAACTGGCATGACTTTATCGAAAAGTAGTTTGGCAACAAGTGTTAAAAATTTTAAAATTTGGGGACCGATGCTGTGGCGCAGCAGGTTAAAGCCTCGCCCTGCAGTGCTGGCATCCCAAATGGGTACCGGTTCAAGTCCTGGCTACTCTACTCCTGATCCAGCTCCCTGCTAATGGCCTGGGAAAGCTTTGGAAGACAGCCCAAGTCCTTGGGTCCCTGCAACCACTCAGGAGACCTGGTAGAAGCTCCTGGCTTAGATCAGCTAGGCTCTGGCCATTGTGGCCATCTGGGGAGTGAACCAGAGGATAGAAAATCTCTCTCTCTCTCTCTTTCTCTCTCCTCTCTCTCTCTGTAACTCTTTCAAATAAATAAAATATATCTTAATTTTTTTAAATTTAAACACTGTTAAATTCAGTAGTTGACTGTTAAGAAATTATCCCAATGAAGTCACTAATAATGAGAAATATAGAGCTATACGAATACTTACTGGAGCTCAAAGCAGAAAATTAGAAATGACCCATATCCAACTAGAGGGCATCAACTAAATGAATTCTAAGATCTCTGTTCCATGATATACTCTACAATCATTAAAAGCTAGGTATAGAAAAATATCCGTTACTATGAAATGACATTAACAGTTGCATTATTAAGAGGAACAAAAGGTTAGAGGATATGTTCCCATTCCCTACCAGCTCTCTCTCCAGCTGCACTTATGAATACCACAGAATTATCCTTCTCTTACCAATGCTTTGCATCTACTCTAATCATAATCTCAAAATAAGTACAAGTTATTTTCTTTCCCACAGAAAAAAAAGCAAGGGTTCCATTTTTATAAGAGACAGGAAGAATGAGCAGACAAATATGGAGACTACATGAAGCTATACATGTATGTTATGGCATGTGTATACACCCCTACCACTATCTTGAGGATTTGCCAACAAAGTGATAACTACTTCTGGTTCAAGACCTTGGAGATACTTACCAGTACCATGTGCTTTCATCACAATGGAGAACCGTGCACAGTCAGTCTCTTCTAAGCAGATGTGTTGCACGGAGATTTTGCTTGAGTACAAAGGATAGCAGAAGAGAGATTCAGTGTCGGATGCCTGGACCTGCAATCATAAAAAACAAAATACCACTGAGTTGGGCAGCTTCTGTGCCTCCATTCAAACTAGCTGAAGTCCCAGAACAGAGGAACATCGTATTGCATGATTGCATGATTTCTCTCGCTCGCTCCCAC